AAATTAAAGTGCATTAGAAGCATAACCCAGTGAATTCTATCGTTAATGAATACTCAGGCAGTATGTTAACTTTTTCTGAGATGCAATAGCCAAGCCAAAGAATTTAATGAAAAAAACCAGATGATTAAACAAATTTTGAAGTAATTAGAGGTAGTCTTTGAAAATGCCTCATTAGGCATTTGACTCATTAGGACAGATCTTTTTATTTGAGGGCCAGGACATAATTGTTTAAGCAGCTGATATGTCTTTAGCTCCTTTCTCCTTGCCACAAGTTGTCCCCTGTACCGCTTCTCCACCTAGCTCCCAAGTGACTTTGAAGAGATTCCTTAGGCCTCACCTCCCCTAGAGAGTGCCCTTAGCACCATCTGTCTCCCTTTCCTTATTCCTATTGCCTGTGTTTATTGCTTTAATAAATTCCCTTAAGTTAGCACTTCTAGGGTGGATTAGAATCATTCAAATCCACTTGATTGCTACTAAGTGGAAATTGTATACTCAGCCTTTTTTAAATCCTTACAACACTGTGATGAGGATTTAGAGTTGCTTTAACCTAGGGAGATGAAATTCAAACTGGTGGTGGCATTTCATATTTACAGTGGGCCTGCGGGATGAAAGAGAGCTTGGTATCTCAATCCCTTACATAAAGCAGGTGGGTCTTGTTAGAAAAACCCTTCTTAGGAGAAATACCTAATGTAGATGACGGGGTGATGGATGCAGCAAACCACCATGGCATGTGTATACCTATGTAACAAACCTGCATGTTCTGCACATGTACCCCAGAACTTAAAGTATAAAAAATAAATTTTTTAAAAAAGAAAAATCCTTCAATAATTGTTAAGGTTAAAATTTTAAAAAGGTACAAAGAAATTTGCTTTGATGCAAATATTGTCTATTCAGTTACAAAACTTGAGAGATAATGGGAGTGTACAGTAGCAGCTATCCAGGACACAACATCTGTATTGTGCTGTTGAATATATCGCTCGACCATTCTGGAAAAAGGCATGCTCGTGTATGAATGACAATGTACCTTGTGTGTATGACGTTCCAAGCCAACATGTTGTTTGCTGCAAATAAACTTCTTGACTGTCAAAAATATTTGCATGGTCTAAACTGTTTCTTTTGTTTCCCTTCTGCCTTATGAGCTGGTAGTTTGGCCTTTTGACTTTTCCCTGAGAGTTAACACAAGTTAGGCAGTTGGGGGGTGAATGTAAGTAAATTCCATATTACTCTATGTTGCTGCTCTACTGACAATTCAAGAAAATGTCTTGGTAGGAAGTAGGGAATGTGTTCAAACTCTATCTTTAAATTTCAATTATCCACGTCACTCCTGTGGTCCACTGCTCTATATAATTAAGTGCAAGCTGTATGTTCCATAGTGACACAGCCTGTTGTTTCTGATCTGTAGTTTTCACTTAACCTACGGTAAAATTGAAATAGAAATCAGGTCTTTTTTTACCTTCTTCCACTCAATTCTAGTTAGATATTTTTGAACTTCTGTAAAATGCCTGCAATCTTATGACCAAAAATGTGTAAAATTACTACTCCCATGTAGAGGAGGATCCATTCTTCATTGAACCATACCCTTGGGATTCTATCACATGCAGTTGGCCATATAATATCTATAATTTTCTGTTTTCGTTTTGTTTGTATATTTTGTAGGGAATTTGGAATTCGAAAAATATAGTACATTTAGGGTATATGTATTAGTCCATTTTCATACTGCTATAAAGAAATACCTGAGACTGGGTAATTTATAAAGAAAAGTAGGTTTAATGAGCTCACAGTTCCTCATGGCTGGGGAGGCCTCACAATCCTGGCAGAAGGTGAAGGAGAAGCAAAGGCACGTCTTACATGGTGGCAGGCAGGAGAACAGGTGCAAGGGAACTGCCCTTTATGAAATCATCAGATCTCATGAGATATATTCACTATCATGAGAACAGCACAGGAAAAACCTGCCTCCATGATTCAATTACCTCCCACTGGGTCCCTCCCACAACATGTCACAATTATGCTGCATCTTTCCTGTAAGACTTGAGCACATTCTTAATTTCTTTCTAAACATGTAGAGTAGAGGTATAAATAGTATTTGGGTAAATCACTGATTAATACTGAAGAACCAGGCATTTTCTTACCACAGTCCCCATTTAAAGTAGGTAACTTCAAGATGAGGTTCAGATGGGGACACAGCCAAACCATATCAGTATATTAAAGAAAATATTTGTCAGTGCTAAGTGAATCTACTTTCACCTACTTGATGATTTGATGATTTTATAAATAGTCAACTCTTTCCTCACCTTTTCAGTTGTATTTTGTTGTTCCAAAGCCCAAACCTGTGTGTCTTGTGTTGAACAACTTGAGTCATACAGTTGTGAGATGTAAATGGGTGTGGTGGTTCAACTTACTTCTTTACATGGTACTACAACTAAGCCATCTAAGTAGCCTACTCCTAAATTCCTCCAAGAAGGGACATATCACGATCTGATTTAAATGTAACATCCTTTCTTAGAGAAGTTTTCTTTGTCTCCTTCCCCAGTCACTTCCTCCCATCCATTGTGCTTTCAGCAGTTCATTGGTTCATTAATTCAATCAATAAATACTGAATAACTTTTGATCAATGTCTTTCTCTCCGCAAGCTGGAAACTTGATTGATAGAGGGTAACATGATCTGTATTTGCTTACCACTGCACCTTCCATGAATATACATTGTAAGTATTGAATGGAGTTTTACTAAATGAACAAATACTTTGATATAATATTTTGGTAACCACCAATATCAATTTATGAGTTGATTCTAAAATTCTTCTGTTGGAAATCAGCTTATCTTTAGTATGACTGTGAAAGCCTTTTAAAGTGGGTGGTAATACTACATTTTGTTTTGTTTCATTAACCTTGTGGTTTTCTTTATCTTTGAAATCTTTTTAAAGGAAGATAAATTACATTTATGGAAGGAGCTTTTTTAAAAAATACTTTATTTTTAAAAGGTAAAATGCTGTGTATAGTTATAATTTGGTGACTCTGATTTCACCTTAGGAAAAACAATATCACCTTCTAATCATTTCTTTTTTAATCAAATCAGTTGCTTTTATTTCTTTATGTAGATTTGCTATTAAAAGATTGTAATCACTGCTGCATCTTTCCTGTAAGACTTGAGCACATTCTTAATTTCTTTCTAAAATTGTGGAGTAGAGTTATAAATAGTATTTGGGTGATACACTGACTAATACCAAAGAACCAGGCATTTTCTTACCCTAGTCCTCACCCAAAGTTGGTAAATACAAGTTAGAACTCATCTTCTCAAAACTGATCTCAGAATTTCCTGAGAAATCTGAATCTAAAATAATTCTTTGCTTTTGATATATTTTCCCTGATTTCTACCATAAGGCTCCTGCTCTTACTTTTTTTTTTTTAATGTTTCAAATAGAAGATGGTAAAGTCATACAGTACAATCTCAGCATTGGAGTGTCTACTGGAGGTCAACTAGTGCAAACACTTTCTGGGTAATGGAATCCCTTTGGGAACATCCCTTGAAAGTCCTCATCTAACCTATTCTTGGAAACACCCAGCGATCCACCTCATCATTTCCTATGATGGCAGTTTCTATCTTTGTTGTTGGCTCTGAGTGTTACAAACGGCTTCTTTGCATTGAGCTGTAACTAAAACGTTTCCACATCCTGCTTCTATTTTAGCCTGGTAAAGAACAAGTTGAACCCGTCTTATGCAGAACAACCCATCTAAGGGCAGTGCTCTTGCTTCCTCCGTGTTTTCTTTTCCCTAGGCTAACCATTCTTTGTTCCTCACTAGCTCACTCTATGACCTGATTTCATGTCTCCTTATGCTTCTAGTTACTGTAACTTGAGTAGACTGATTTTTCTTATATTTTCAGATCCAGCCAATGAGTGTGATACATCAGGTGTGCGCCTATGACTTGAGATTACAGTGGAAATATCATCTCCCTTAATTCAGATATTATAACTTCATTGGCAAATCTGACAATGAAAGTTGAAATGCCTGACCAGGGACAATGGCTGGTCAGACACCACTGTTCTCATCTTTTACTTTTAGGTGTCATTCAGTTTGTTAAGTTAGTACCTAGACAATATCCTGAAACTTGTTAATGCAAACTTCTTTTCAGAGCCAGAATCTGGAATCATACTTAATAGAGAATGATCTTGTACAAGTTGGTTAATTTCACTAATGGTTTCTCAAATTTAACAAGATTATTGTAAGAACTAAATTAGTTCTAAACTGCTTCCAAGTATGTAAATGCTTAAAATATGTAGTAAGTGCTGAATGCATATTAGTAATAACAATCTTTATTATAATTTTTACTATTACATGAGAAAGGTTTATTTTAACACTGAGCAAATGGGAAGAGTTCATGGTGTCTCTACGTTTTTAAAGTGTCATTTAATATATTATATATAAAAACACATATATAACATATATATATATATATATATTTCAGTCACATGTTTGTTCAAATATACCTTATGAGCAAGTCATTCTTATTTATTCTTGCCCATCTCCTTGGACTACATGCTTTTAAAAACTGTCTTTTAATTTACTATTAAGACAATATTACTAGCAGAAGTAGGCTTTGATGCTAAATCATATTTTAAGAATAACTAATTAGAATTCTGTTCTTGTTATAACACCTGTTACACACACACAACCCTACCTGGTGTGTCAGAGTCAGTTTGTTTGGGCTCATGAGCACCCACTGTTCAATTTTCAGGAGTTTTATAAGCCACTTGATATCAGACAAGTGGCCTGAAATTTGCGATGGTGGCAGCATTTACACCATGAACACTGGCCACTGCTACAAATCAAAGTCTTTTTCTTTTTCTCTTGGAGACACACTTGTGAAACACTTACCAGCTCACCTTGCTTGAGAGTATTTCTTCACATAAAATGAAAGACGGTTAGCTTTGAAGATTGTTTTGTATAAAAGTTTACATGGGAAAAAAATAAATTAATTGGTTGTTTTCCCCCTGTGTTTTCAGGGATACGAAAAGACCGAAGAGGAGGGAGAATGTTGAAACACAAGCGCCAGAGAGATGATGGGGAGGGCAGGAATGAAGTGGGGTCCACTGGAGACCTGAGAGCTGCCAACCTTTGGCCAAGTCCGCTCATGATCAAACACTCTAAGAAGAACAGCCCAGCCTTGTCCCTGACAGCTGACCAGATGGTCAGTGCCTTGTTGGATGCTGAGCCCCCCATAATCTATTCCGAGTACGACCCTACCAGACCCTTCAGTGAGGCTTCGATGATGGGCTTACTGACCAACCTGGCAGACAGGGAGCTGGTTCACATGATCAACTGGGCAAAGAGGGTACCAGGTAAGAATGTGAAACTCAGCTTTTAAGAGTCAATAGCTTTTCAAGAACTGGTTGTGATGTCCTGGGAGAAATAGTAGGAGAAAAAGAAGCAAGCAATAACTTGTTATGTAACTCGTTTCAAGGTTATAGGAGATGTGTTCATTTTCAGTATCAACACACTGTAATTTTCCTGGATGTTAGAAAAGAATATTTTGAAATCAAAATCTAAGAGACTAAAATTTTTAAATTGACATAATTTATTTTTAACCATCTATTCACCAAAAAGATTTAGGGTGGACACTACATGATAAAACTATTTAATAGTATATGTTCACAGTAGCAGAAACTTTTAACACTAAATGATCTACGAAAGTTTTTAATATTTAATGACCTTTGTTCAAAACATCTCAATTATTAATAAAACAATTTTATCTTGAAAAGATTTTTAAGATTGGGTGTGATGCCTCATGCCTGTACTCCTAGCACTTTTGGGGGCTGAGGTGGGAGATTGCTTGAGCCCAGGAGTTTGAGGCCAGCCAGGGTAACATTTTGAAACCCTGTCTCTACAAAAAAATTTTTTTAAATTAGCTGGGTGCAGTAGCACACACCTGTGGTCCCAGCTACTGGGGAGGCTGAGGCTAGAGGATGGCTTGAGCCCAGGAGGTCAAGGTTTCGGTGAGTCGTGTTTATATGGAGTGCCACTGCACTCTAGCTCAGGTGACAGCAAGACCATGTCTTAAAAAAAAGTTAAGAAAGATCTTTATGGATTAAAGAGATAATAATAAGGTTATTTACTGAATGCCAATTATTTATCCAACCTAGTTTATGCTTAGTATTTTAGGAAAAAGAGAAAGACAGTGGAAAAATAAATTAAGGTATCATCACTGAAAGAAACTTTTAGAGACACAGTGGCTGAAGTGACACCTTGCTCCTTTAGTTGACTCTCAGAAGTGGTATTGTGGTAAAATTAGACTGTTACTCTTGTTGCTCAGGGAGAAGAACTCAAGTGTGTGTGGAAACAAGACTAGGAAATGACTTTCTCCCTGCCCCAGTGTATCCATTCAGGAACTAATGTAGATGAATCGAGGCAAGAGGAAGCTAAATTTTTTTTCTGGGCTTATAGTTAAAATGAGTGATAGATTTAGTTAGACATTTTCTCATTTGGGTTCTTTTAATAGATACAATTAATTGTTTCCTATGAAGCACAAAATGTTTTGTATGAAACTAAAAAAATGTGGAGTTTGGTATTTGTGTTTCAAGGGTCACTGCTGTGTTACAGCCCAAGTGAACTTATGTTTGGAATTGGAGAATCTTACATGTATTTGTATCTATCAGCATATAAATATGTGGGCTGTAGAAGAAGGAGCCAGCAGTATCGGAACCCAACCTTGTCAGAGGCCACCGTTTTGGTGGTTTGGGTGGTTATTAGGTTACATGGAAGCATGGAGAATGACAGGCAAATTTAGGTTTTCAGTGTCAGTTGAGCTGGCAAACAAAAATTCCTGGTCATCTTCAGAATGAAAAGTTTTCTTGAGTACTTACATATTTTAGCATTTTTATATGAAGCAGATACATTATAAGTTAATTGCTGGATCTAACTGTCATGTAGCTGTAATTTTTTTCTTTATATTTGTTATTGCCTTGTTCTTATATTTTAGGGAAAGAGAAACAAAGGAAGAAACTAATGGTCATATATTTGAGAACCAACTCTTGGTTGCTGTTTATTTTTATTTTCCTGTAAACATATATTTTCCCTCATAAAATCTTGGTAATATTAGCCCTGGAGTACTGCTGAATTCAAGTATAGACATTTTCCTATGTATCGGTAGATTCCCATCATGACATTTTTATAGCAATAAAATATTAAAGAACATTTGAAACAACTGGAATTAAGCTCAAATATATTACCAGTGGTTGAAGAATTCACATCAATAATTTTCTGAATTTAAGAATAAAGTGGAGAAGCCAAGGAAAGGAAAATATTATATATAGGCTAATAATTGTTAAAATGCAATTATTAAAGCCAGAGCTCGGCAAACTTATGCTAATAAGATCTACAGCAAAACCACTCTATAATTGCATCATGTTAGTTTAAAAGACCTGAATGATTCCAAAATCCTTAGACGAATAAACTATGTCTTCTTACTTGATCATTTAAAAAACAATTATAAAGGCGAAAAATGAAACCGTGTGTGTGTGTGTGTGTGTGTGTGTGTGTGTTCCATGGGAAAGCAGCTGTTGTAAATCAAAGGCCTACTTGTCTGACCAAGCAAAATAAAATTAGTCATTGATTTTAAAAAAGATGAAAAATGAGGGAAGAAAAAAGTCTTCTGCAAAAGCTCTATATATGGTTGTCAAGCTTTTCAGAAAAATGGACAAAGACTTTTTTTTTTTTTTTTTTGAGATGGAGTTTCGCTCTTGTTACCCAGGCTGGAGTACAATGGCACGATCTCGGCTCACCGCACCCTCCGCCTCCTGGGTTCAGTCAATTCTCCTGCCTCAGCCTCCCGAGTAGCTGGGATTACAGGCATGTGCCACCATACCCCGCTAATTTTTTGTATTTTTAGTAGAGACGGGGTTTCACTATGTTGACCAGGATGGTCTCGATCTCTTGACCTCGTGATCCACCCGCCTCGGCCTCCCAAAGTGCTGAAATTACAGGCTTAAGCCACCGCGCCGGGCCCAAAGAAACATTTTCAAAAGCATTTATATTTTATATATATCCAAATACCAACTGTTATTTAAAAACCATAGCCCACACTGAAAATCTGATATAGGCAATGTAACGTTTATGAGATAATAGTTTGAGAATGACAATGATAAGAACAATTTTTAAAAAGAGGAAATAGAGCAGGCACAGTGGCTCACACCTGTAATCCCAGCACTTTGGGAGGCCGAGGCGGGTGGATCACCTGAGATCAGGAGTCCAAGACCAGCCTGGCCAACATGGCAAAACCTCATTTCCACACAAACACACAAAAAATACAAAAATTAGCCGGTTTTGGGGGTGCACACTTGTAGTTCCAGCTACTTGGCATGCTGATGTGGGAAAATCGCTTGAACCAGAGAGGCAGAGACTGCAGTGAGCCAAGATCCCACCACTGCACTCCAGCCTGGGTGACAATGAGACTCTGTTGCTAAATAAATAAATAAGGCAATAGTAAACATCATTAGTAAGAAGAATAGCAAAAAGTTCAGTTCTAGAAATCCTTGGAATTAGCTGTATAATACACAAACTCTCATGGAACATTTGAATAATCCTCAGAACACCTATCGATATAACAGAAATTGTGAATTGACTTCATTTTGAATGATGAATTTTTAACAAAAATAATCAGTACCTTGGACTATCTTAGTAGTTCTAGAAGTGCTTTTTCTTCTGCTTTTTTTTTAACTGAAAGAATATTGTCAGAATTTTTAAATGTTGATGATTATAAGTTGAATTTTCCTTTTTATTAATATCTGGTGCTTATTTTTTGACTTGATGTGTTTCTCTACCCAGAATTAAGATGTGAAGAGCTTTAGGATAAAATGCATCCTACAAGTGTGACAGTCAAGTTCCAATCCACAAAGTACTTCTAGTAGACCTGGATAAAGATGAACTTAAGATGAGATTTTGTTTCTCTTTGCAGTTAAAAACAACAGTAGCAACAAGTATGATAAAACCTATCAAGCTAGCTCTGACAAAAGATGCTTTTTTACAGCACATACTATGTATCTGCTGATATTTACCTATAGAGAAGGCTGTTCTCTTTATTGTTTGCTCTGAAATTTATCTTTAATAGGCATTTTATTGCCTTATCCCTGGGTAGAGATTTAGTTAAAAAAAATTAGATGATTGAATCCTAATTGACTGTTATTCTACACGTGGTGAAACTAGTCAATAAATGTAATATCATTGAGCTGAAGGTTCAAAAGAAAAACTATGACTGCAAACGTTGTATTTTTCATTTCAGCATCACACTCAATTGCATCATTGAGTGGTTCATTCTTAGTTTCAGTGTTAATGAAATACGTCTGAGTTTTCCCCAGAAGCTTGAATTGTGTCACCAAACTGTCATTTTGATTTATTAAAAATTAAGCCTTTTCCAAACTTCGTCATAATTTTTACATGTCTCAGAGGCAATCTTATTCTTCAGGTTTGTGCTATAGTTCTATATAGTTTATGAAGATTTGGATAGATGTCTAGCCCTGAGTTTTTGTTGCCTGTTAAAAATAATTATCACCAAAAGTGTGACAGCCTCGTGAACTGCCACTGGGTGCAGATCTGGGAGAGCATGCTGAGTGTTGACCCAGGAAGAGGAAGATAGGAAAAGGGGCAGTTCAGGGGCAGCTTGGCATCCTGCGAAACATGCCACCTTAACCACTTCCTCATTCTTTTAGTGGCAAACTAGATGACCTTCTCCTTCCCCTTTCTTGCCAAGTCTCTCTCTACTCAACGCTCTAGAAGGCCCCTCTTCCTCCCCAGTCCTCACTCCCTGTCCTTTGCTTCAGGTTTCCTCCTTGCTCTGTTTTGGCCCCAGGAGTCGACGACCTACTCTTTCTCGACCTGCCTCCCAGCAGCCCCAAGTTCAGGTTTCTTGGAAGTTTCTGTGTTGTCTCTAGGATGCATGGTAGTCTGAGTCATTCCAGGGCTCAAGGCCTCTTCTGTCTCTGTATTCTCCAGAAATCCAAGAATTTGCTTCCCTGCCTCTCATCCTCATCCTCATCATTAAAATTAACAGTGATTTAAGCTAAGGAAGTGCCGGAATGAATGAATGAATAAATGAAAGGTGAATATTGAAAGTTTTAATTTTAAGAAGTATCTGAGCCCCATCCATTTCAGCTCAAATTTCCCATAAACTAGAACTGCTTTCTAAGGCTGTGGCATTTTTCTTTTTTCTTCTCTTCAAAATCTACCTGCTGTTCTGCTATCTCTCTTACAGCTACCTTAGTGAGACTCCACTTCCATTTCCAACCTCTCTTTTGTAAGGGACAGAGAAATAGCCAGAGGAATACAGAGCCATGTGTTCTGAGGACTT